CAAGTGATTTTTTGGTGGATTTTCCTGCAGACTTACTTTTGTTGAATTTGCTTCACGCCCCTCGCGCCGGTACGGACCCGGCGCAGATGCACGCTGGTGGCGTCTTCAGATGATGGGCGTGCGGTGTGCGTGCGTGTTTCGGGTCGGGCGGGGATGACGTCGTGCCGCGGTCTCTGGGCCCGCCCGCGCTCAGGGGCTCGCCCTGGCGTTTCCGCGCCCGGCGCGTCCCACCCGGTGGACAGGCTCCGCTCCCCGCGCCGCGCGCGCCCTCGTCCTCCGCGGCGCCCCTCGCCGCTCCCCTCCCCCACCCGGCGCTCCCCGTGCCGCTGCCGCAGTAGACCTTGCGGGAGGCTCTTTGTGGATTTTCAGAAGCCTGGAGTCAGTCTGAAGCGTTTCCGTTTTTCTTGCAGGCCTGGCAGCTGGGAGGAACCCGCAGGAAAGATGCCCTCTGAATCCTTCTGTTTGGGTGCCCAGGCGCGACTGGACTCCAAATGGCTGAAAACAGATATACAGGTGGGGACCTGTCACGCCTGTGCCTCGGCGTGGAGCCGCCTCCGCCTTTTCAGTTTCTCGGCAAGGCTTTTGGGGGATGCGTAGGGGGCGATGGATCTTATCTCACTAGAATAGCGAGTTTATTTCCTGTGTATAAATTGTTTATGGCAGTTTTGGCAGATTGTGTGCGACAGTATTTTAGTTACCGTTCTTTGTAGGTGCATGAAACTTGAGATCTTGTTGTGCAAAATTTGTTCCTGTTTATTATTACTATTTAAATCTGTCACTGTAAACAGTGACTTGATGACTGTTCATGTTGGTAGTTTTTGAGATGTTCTGTGACATGGGATTGACATGCCTGCAGCGACTCATTTTATGGGATCTTGTGTCTGTGTTTTGAAGAGAGGAGAGTTAACTGTAATTCAGCAGAGCTGTTTGCTTTGTGGTTATGACAGGTTTTATTAAGAGGAGTGCTCAGATGTTCGCCTTGGGAACATGAGGAAACGGAACACAGGCCTCAGACTCTAATGTTTGCTGTAGTAAGACAATTGCAACCTGCCTAAAAATCATCCAGTAAATAATAACAATAATGTTTCCTTAGGTGATTCTTTACTCCTAAAGTAGTTTTGTGAATGGTTTGGAAAAACTTTCAGAATTTGATTGTATCACCAGCAAAAAGACGTGTCTAAGATATTTTGTAGTGCATATCTTGTTCTCTTCCTCGAGGTTAATCATTATAAATATTTGTTAAGTAATGTGATTCATATTAGTGTTATATGCATTACGACTGCTTATCAGGAGTCAGATGGTCTGTAAGCAGTAGTGACCCTAGATATTTGAAGTGGAGTGTTACTGCCTTTTTGTAATTCTTTCTTCTTTTTTAAACAGATGTTGTGTGTCAGTAGAGATGAGAGAAAAATTTTTGGAACTGTGTTGTGAAAAATGGGAGTTTAAAGATGGGAATTTTTTGGGCTGGTGAGATGGCTCAGTGGTCTAAAGCACCTACTTAGAACAAGCCTAAGCTAAGCAGAGCACAGGGACTGTGGTTCAATCCCCCAGCAGCACCACATGCCAGCCAGCCCCGCCCCCTGGTGGGCTGAGCTGCCCCCCATAAATAAATAAATTAATTAATAAAATAAAAAAATTTTAAAAAAATGGGAGTTTTTTAAGATGTAGTGGTATAGATAAGACTACGCAGGATCGGGTCAAGAATTAATGTTGTAGTTATTACTTGGGTGTCTTATTCAAAATTTGGCCCTTCTTGGACATTTTGAACATTACACAAAAGTTTTCCAAGCATCACCCAGAGATAAGTGAAGGGATTAGGTACACTAGAGGAGAAATGTGCTACATGTATTGGAGGCATTTAGCATGGAAAAAGTGGCGATCTTTTGTTGTATATAATTTCTCCAGCATTGCTTATTAAATGTGAGGAATGGGTGTTGTGTTATCCTAAGGAATTAGATGTAGTTTTTCTCTTTGAGGGCCTTCTTTCGGACCCACATTGTGGACAAAAATCTCCGTGCTGACACTGTCTTGTTAGGGCTGGCTTTTCTACCCGGAGTAGGGGCACCCTACTTGGGACTCTTGTGTTGGAAACAGAATCGACATCTGGTTAATGAATACTATGTGGGAAAGACATGTATGCGTAGAAAGGTATTTCTAGGACTTAGCAACTCTTCTTTTTTTTTTTTGTACTGGGAATTGAATTCAGGGTCTCACACTTGCTAGCGGGTACTGCGCTGCTGAGCTACATTCCTGGCCCCTAGGAACTCTGTGTTCAAGCTACTTTTGTTTGAAATGCACAAGATATTAAGTAAGTTTTAGAAAGGAAAAGTTTTGGGGAAATGAAAGTTTTCAATGTGTTTGTATTATAATAGACACTGTTCCATAACTTCCTGACTATCGATGTGAAGATGCACCAACCTAGTTCTGTTTCTTGTTTTGAGACACATAGTTCAGACTGGTCTTGAACTCACTATATTGCTTAGACTGGCCCCAAACTCCTACTTTCCTCCTACCTCAGCTTCCTGAGTACTGGCATTACAGGTGTGCACCACCATGCTTAGCTTCCTTTACTACTTACTCTCTTCAGTAACAGAGCTCAAAGTGCTAGTAGCCACATCACTATTGTTGTGAAGGTCTGCCTGCTATGACTGCTGGTTTTTCAGTGCATCAAAAAGAAACACAGGAGGGACCTGGCCATAGCTCAGTTCTTTAAGTGGCTACTTCCACAAAGCTGTCAGCCTCAGGTTGCTGTAGTTCGATTCCCACAACACTCCAGCCAGCCAAACCACGCCTGAGGGCATTCAGAGCAAAAAAAAAAAAAACAACCCTTATTCCATTTTGGGGGCCTGGCCCTAGCTCAGTTCTTTAAGTGGCTGCTTCCACAAAGCTGTCAGCCTCAGGTTGCTGGAGTTCGAACCAACTCTCCCGCTGGCCAAAAGTGCCCTGAAGGCATTCGAGAAACAAAAAAAACAAAAACAAAAACAAAAAACCCTTAAAAAGAAACACAGGAGCTACACAAAATAGTACAAGATGGGCACGTTTTAATGACAGCTACTTGTGAGGTTTAGGCAGGAGGACTGAAGCTTGAATTCAGTTTGGGAAACTTAGTAAATGTCAAAAATAAAAAGGGGGGGATTTGATTAGTGCTTCTGAGGTTCAGTCTCCATTATGGAAAAACAAACAAACAAAAAAACAACTCATGACTCCCAAAAGCCTTTTATTCTTAAAACATTGGTATGTTTATTTGCCAGTTTTTTGTTTTTTTTTTTCCCCTTTTCAGATAGGGTCTCACTATGCAATTCAAGCTGGCCTTGCACTCACTCTGTAACTCAGGGTGGCCTTGAACTCACAGTGATCCTCCTGTCTCAGCCTCGTGAGTGCTTTGATTGTGCCACTACATCCGGTTTATTTGCCAATCCTTATGCAAGAGTAAGGGCATATCTCTGAGTATTGGTCCAGAATGGAAATAATTAATATCCTTCTTTCTTGCATCAGCTATATGATGAATTTGCTACAGTTTCTGTTTTTGGGTTCTGTGAAGTGGCACATGAAATTAGATATGCATAGAGGAATTTTTAAAAATTTTTATTTGAAAGGATAATAGATTCAGAGGAAGATGCAAAGAAAATAGAAGGTCACTTTGTACCCTTAGCAAGACGCCCCAAGTGGTTATATGCTATGTAACTGTGGTTACAGTGTCAAAACTTGTGAGTTGCTGTTGGTGCAGTCTGTACTCCATAGCTCTGTGCCTTTCGGCCACATGCATCTACTCAGGTAACTACACCACAGTTGAGTATAAAACTGTTTCATGACCAAAATAACCTCCCTGGTACTACCTCTGTAGTCACACCCACTCTTCATCTGCCACAGTCTCTAATCCCGGGAACCACTCATCTGTTTTCCATCTCTGTAATTTTGTTATTTCAGGATTATCATATGGCACGTGGCCTTTGTGAATAGCTCTCTGTTCACTTGGCATAGTTTCAATAAATCCCATAAAAGTTACTGAGTATATCAGTAATTAAACTCAAGACCATTTATTTTTCTTAATTTTATGATTAAGCATAAAATATTTAAGAAGGGCATGGTAGGGCTGGGGTTGTGGCTCAGTGGTAGAATTCTTGCCTTACCTGCCCAAGGCCCTGGGTTTGATCTCTAGCACCACCACCCTGGAAAACAAAACAAAACAAAACAACACAACAAACACCCCCCCAATCTGTAAAAGGGCATGGTAGTGCATTCCTGTGATTCTGGGAGCATTGTGGGAGCCTGAGGCAGGAGGATTGGGCGCTTAAACCTAGGCCTGGCAGTTTAATGATTTAAAACCCTATCTCTAAATCTCAGAATAAAAAGTAAAAAAAGGACTGGGCTAAGTGTGCAGGTTCTAGGTTCAACTCCTAGTGCTGCAGGAAGCAAATTTTTTGTTGAATATAAATTAAAATTTATTCAATGTAAATATCATTATTTTGTATTTAGAAACATCAGTAGATTAAAAGTGTACCCGTAAACGTGGAGGGTCATTCTGTCTTGGGGTTTTTGCTAATAATATAGTTGATTAGTGAAAAGTGGAAATAAGGATATGATAAATGTAAATAACTTAATTGATGATTTTAGGACTGGGTTCTAAGAGGTGCTATTTATCTCTAATGTCCAAATATAGCTTCCTTAATGGAAAAATTTTTGTTTACAAATTCCATGATAAAAAGTCCTTTTTTTTTTTTGGTAACTGGGAATTGAACTCAGGACCTTGCACTTGACAGCCATGTGCTGAGCAATATCCCCAGCCCTTATATTCTTGTATATGACATTTTTTAGGCTAATTGAAAGCTTTATGTAGCATTGCTTCTTTTGTTTTTTGGTAATAGGGATCAAACTCAGGATCTTGTGCTTGCCAGGCAGGCGCTTATGCCACTGAGCTATCTCCCCAGCCCTAGCATTGCTATTTTGGATGTTCCTTTGCTGATATTAATATAATGAATTCTTCAAAAGGAAGCTTGACTCTGCTGTTTCAGTTTAAGAAAGAAACCCAAAAGACAGAATGTATGAATGTACTTTCCCAGGGGTAATTATATCTGTCCCAACTGAAGCCATTTTCAGTGTCAAACTTGTTTTTTTTTAATTTAATTTTTATTTATATATTTATTCAATACAGGGTCTTGCTACACAGTTCAGGCTAGCAGTGATCCTCAGCCTCAGCCTCCCCAACCACCAACCCGGTTTCGAGGTGGCATGGCATACAGTACCAGGGATCGAACTAGGATCCCGCTGAGCTATCTCCTGAGCCCTTCAGTTGTCAGACTTTGACAGAGAATGGAAGAATGACAAGAAAGCAATAAATAGCTTTGTGTAACTTCTATCTTATCTAAAAGTTATCTAATTAACATTTTTTTGGTCCTTCTTTTCCAGGTAGGATTTTGCTATGCAGTTGAGATGGGCCTTGAACTCACTGTGTAGCCAGGCTGGCCTGGAGCTCAGTGATTCTCCTTCCTCAGCCTCCAGGGTGCTGAGGTGAC